TAAAATGACTGATATGAATTTCTCGTCTCATTGAAGAACAAACTATAAAAATATTTACAAAACTTCTTAAAATTGAATTATTTTATAAGTTGGAGAAAATACTTGGAATAAGACAAGTTTGATTTAAAGGAAACAATGTAAGAAGTAAATCAACTTCATAAAAAGAAATACAATTTAAACTTTTCTAGAATGTAGTAGCAAAGTTTGAGTAGAAGACTTCATTATTGAGTTTTTCTTTATCACTAAGTAAATAGCATAGCCTATCCTAATCCTTCATCGTTAAGATAGCATGCTAGTTCAACAACTTGTATAAACCGCCTAAGCATGTGATGGTTTTGCTTAATGCTTAAAGTTTAAGAGAAAAAATATATGAAAGAGCATTAAGAGAAAAATTTGCTTCTGTGTGATTTTGTTTTAGTTATATATATATATATATATATATATATATATATATATATATATATATATATATATATATATATATATATATATATATATATATATATATATATATATATATATATATATATATATATATATATATATATATATATATATATATATATATATATATATTGTCCCATTTGATATCAAATATATTCAGATATTTATTATTCAATTTATTATTTTTCAAGACGTGTTAGCAAACATAAATAAATCCGTAACTTATTTAAAAGGAATCATGCAGAATAAAATAAAATCAAGAGAATAAAAAAATTAATATGATTTCAATTCTAAGCATGAATCATAAATAATTTTAAATAAAAAAAAACAAATAATTTAAAAAGAATAAAATAAAATAAAAACCATGGATAGAATTCTTTACTTTTTGGGCTTTAAAAAAAAAACATAAATATGCAACACAGGAGTACATAAGCGAGATGTGGGGAAGCGGGAAGTCATCCTTGGGGCTTGCCCTGTTCAGGTCTTTGTAATCCACACACATTCGTACTTTACCATCTTTCTTAGGTACTGGAACCACATTAGCAACCCACTACGGATAAGAGGTGACAACTAAGAACCCTGTGTTGAACTGCTTCATAACCTCTGCTTTAATCTTCTCTGACATCTCAGGGAGCATACGACATACCTTTTGCTTTACCAGAGGGCAGTCTTCTTTAGTTGGAAGACGATGAACCACTATATCTGTGTCTAGTCCTGGCATGTCTTCATATGACCAGGAAAATATTTCAACATACTCCTGCAACATCTGTACCAACCGTTGTTTGACGCTAAGCTCCAGATTTGTACCTATCTTAACCTCTTTTCTGTCTTCCTCTGTACCCAAGTTCACTGTCTCAACCGGCTCTTCATGAGGCTGTATGGCCCTTTCTTCCTGCTGTAATAGTCTAGCAAGTTCTCCGGGTACATCACAATCTTCTTCACCTTCGTCCTCGGCTTGGTTGATCGGATTTTCAAAGTCATAATGAGCAGTAGCAGAATTATTATCAATGAGATCCAAAGTGGATATGGATATGCATTTGGATACATGAGTGTGTGTAAGATCATAGCTGTATAGACAAAATAAAAAGAAAGAAAGACAGAGAGTGCAAAATTTGTATGCAAACGTCCAATGCTTTATTGATGTCATATTAAAATGAAACATGATAACCCTTACAAATAGAACCATTGTGCCCCGGGTAAGACACATGGCTATAGAGTTTATATTGTTTTTAAATTACATATCTGAAAAATCAGAAAGACAATTACTCCTGAACAAAAGTAATCAATACAAAGTCCTTGGCAGTCCAGTTACTGAGTCCGCCGTTGGTAGTCGGGAAGATGTTCTAGTTGGGCAAGAATTATGGGTCAAGGAAATGGAAGAAGAGATAAAGATGATCGAGAAAAACAACACATGGGAGTTAGTAAATCGTCCCCATGGAAAAGATATCATTGGGGTTAAGTGAGTCTATAAAATAAAGCTCAACCCTGATGGCACCATACAGAAACACAAGGAAAGGTTAGTAGTTAAGGGTTACTCACAACAACCTGGGATTGACTACAATGAGACATTTTCACCAGTAGCTCATCTTGATACCATTAGAGATCTAATAGCTATTGTGGCACAAAGAGGGTGGAGTATCCAACAACGAGATGTCAAATCAGCCTTCCTCAATGGTGTACTTGAAGAAGAGATCTATGTGAAGCAGCCACAAGGATTCATTTCCAAAAGCGAAGAAAGAAAAGTGTTAAGACTAAGAAAAGTACTTTACAATTTGAAGCAAGCACCTCGAGCATGGTATAGCAAAATTGATCAGTATTTCATAGATCGAGGATTTAGGAGGAGCAAGAGTGAGCCTACACTTTACATCAAGTCTCAAGGTCAGTACACTCTCTTACTCTCTCTATATGTAGATGACATTATCTACATGGGAAACAATACCAAGATGATGATGGAGTTCAAAGAAGACATGATGAAGACCTTTGAGATGACCGGCCTTGGTTTGATGAGTTACTTCCTCGGTATAGAGGTAAGTCAGAGAAATAAAGGGATATTCATCTCGCAAAAGAAATACACAGAAGGCTTACTTAAGAATATCAATATGTACGGTTGCAAATCTGTCGCTACTCCACTCATAACAAATGAGACACTACAGAAGAATGTTGGAACACTAGAAGCTTATGCATCCAAATATCGAAGTCTAATTGGAAGCCTTCTATATTTGACAACTACACGGCCAGACATAATGTATGCTACAAGTCTTCTATCAAGATTCATGCAAAGCCCAAGTCAAATACACTTTGGAGCAGGAAAAAGAATTTTATGTGAAGCAACCACAAGGATTCATTTCCAAAAGCGAAGAAAGCAAAGTGTTAAGACTAAGAAAAGCACTTTACGATTTGAAGCAAGCACCTCGAGCATGGTATAGCAAAATTGATCAGTATTTCATAGATCGAGGATTCAGGAGGAGCAAGAGTGAGCCTACACTTTACATCAAGTCTCAAGGTCAGTACACTCTCTTACTCTCTCTATATGTAGATGACCTTATCTACATGGCAAACAATACCAAGATGATGATGGAGTTCAAAGAAGACATGATGAATACCTTTGAGATGACCGACCTTGGTTTGATGAGTTACTTCCTCGGTATAGAGGTAAGTCAGAGAAATAAAGGGATATTCATCTCGCAAAAGAAATACACAAAAGGCTTACTTAAGAATATCAATAGGTACGGTTGCAAATCTGTCGCTACTCCACTCATAACAAATGAGACACTACAGAAGAATGATGGAACACTAGAAGCTTATGCATCCAAATATCGAAGTCTAATTGGAAGCCTTCTATACTTGACAGCTACACGGCCAGACATAATGTATGCTACAAGTCTTCTATCAAGATTCATGCAAAGCCCAAGTCAAATACACTTTAGAGCAGGAAAAAGAATTTTAAGGTATCTACAAGGAACAAAAGAGTTTGGTATATGGTACACTACTGAAACATACTCAGGATTACATGGCTACATCGATAGTGATTGGGCAGGTTCGGTAGATGACATGAAGAGCACCTCTGGCTATGCTTTCTCACTAGGATCAAGAGTTTTCTTTTGGGCGTCGAAGAAGCAAGCTACAGTTGCACAATCAACAGCAGAAGTAGAGTATGTGACTGCTGTTGAAGCGACGACTCAAGCTATATGGCTTCGCAGGATACTTGAAGACATTGGAGAAAAACAAGATGAGCCTACTAAAATTAATTGTGACAACAAATTAGCAATTGCAATGGCGAAAAATCCAGTGCATCATAGTAGAACAAATCACATAGCAATCCAGTATCACTTTATTAGAGAAGTTGAAGCAACTAAGGAGATCAAACTCAAATAATGTAGAACAGGATAACAAATTCCAGACATGTTCACGAAGGCGTTACCGAGACCAAGATTTGAAGAGCTGCGAACTATGCTTGGAGTTACAAAAATTTGCATCAAAGAGAATTGCTACAAATTTCTAGAATATTCTAAATATAATATGTATGGTAATGGTAGAATACCCTAGAAACTATAGTGTGTATGAGTATGGTAGAATAATCTAGAACCATGAGTATATGTAAAAGATAGAAGAACCTAGAACTATCATGATACTAACATATCATGAAAACTCTAGAAAAATCTAAAGTAATGTAGAAACATTCACCACCATTGAGAGGTTGGTGACTTGAGCCTATAAATATGAATTTGATATCTTGTAATGTATCATCCAAGAAATCAATGACATAGACTTCTTTCTAAACAACTCTCTAAAACTATCTTCTATCAACTATCACTACACCATTACTAACAAATGCTCATTTGCAGGGCACACATCAGGTCAATCAAGTTAGTGTTAGCAAAACAGGTTCTATGAAGCTGGTTGAAGGTATAAACCATGCACTTTCTTGTAAAACAAATAAACTAGTCAATCTGCACCTGATCATATTCGCATTTAGATAAATTGCTTTGTATTTGTATCATATAGTGTTAGAAATGTTAGAAAAATTTGCTTCTGTGTGATTTTGTTTTAGTTTAATTTATATATATATATATATATATATATATATATATATATATATATATATATATATATATATATATATATATATATATATATATATATATATATATATATATATATATATATATATATATATATATATATATATGTCCCATTTGATATCAAATATATTCAGATATTTATTATTCAATTTATTATTTTTCAAGACGTGTTAGCAAACATAAATAACAAATCCGTAACTTATTTAAAAGGAATCATGCAGCATAAAATAAAATCAAGAGAATAAAAAAATTAATATGATTTCAATTCTAAGCATGAATCATAAATAATTTTAAATAAAAAAAAAACAAATAATTTAAAAAGAATAAAATAAAATAAAAACCATGGATAGAATTCTTTACTTTTGGGCTTTAAAAAAAAACCATAAATATGCAACACAGGAGTACATAAGCGTAACATATATAAAGAGAGAGTGAATGGCGGCGGCGGAGGCGGCGGCATCAGCATCCAAAAGAATGGCGGCGGCGGAGGCGGCATCAGCATCCAAAAGAATGGCGGCAGAAGAAAAAGAATGTTGTTATTTACCAGATGAATTATTAGAGTACATCTTCAAATCCGTCAACGACGACAACCTCACTTTCAAGTCACTCTCCGCTCTCTCCAAACAGTTTCTCTCGATCACCAACCGTCTCCGATTCTCCGTCACAATCACCGACGAAACCATCCCTTTCCTTCCTCGCCTCTTCCTTCGCTTCCCTAACCTCACCTCCCTCAACCTCACTCTCCTTTCCAAAACCCTAGAACAAGTCGACGAAATTCTAACCCTAATCTCCACTTTCCCTTTACGCATCAAATCACTCAATCTCTCCAACGATATCAACACCATAAGCATTCCGATTCCTGCAAACGGCTTGATAGCTTTGTCAAAAACTATGACAAATTTGACATCTCTCACTTTTTACGGAATGAAATATTTCGACAAGAAGGATTTATTCTTCATCGCTCATTATTTTCCTTTGCTTGAAGAAGTGAATCTCATTAACCCCCGTCTTATGAGTGCCGGACATTTTATGATTATGGATGAAATCGATACATTATTATTAACACTTCCCAATCTCCGCAAGATTGACCTATCTGGTAATATTTACGTCAATGGCAGATTTATTCAAGTTCTCCGCAAGAACTGCAAGCTTCTTCAAGAGATCATAATCCCCCCTCGGCCTTGGACCTCACGGTGATTTGGAAATAATGATGACACAAATTTTCAGTTTTTTTTTATTCGCCGCAATGTTTTGCAGAAACTTCATATGTAAAGATTGTGATTGGACAATGGATAATAGCAATTATTATGGAAAAGTGGTACTAGTTACAGGGAATGGCGAAGATGGAAGAGCTGAACGTGCCTCACTATCCATGATGCTGGATTTTGTTCAACCTGTTACAGAAAAAGAATCCGTGCATGAGTTAGATGCTGTTGAAATTGCTATAAATTTCTAGAATATTCTAAATATAATATCTATGATAATGGTAGAATACCCTAAAAATTATAGTGTGTATGAGTATGGTAGAATAATATAGAACTATAAATCTATCTAAAAGATAGAAGAACCTAGAATTATCATGATACTAACATATCATATGTATCATCCAAGAAATCAATAATATAGTCTTCTTTCTAAACAACTCTCTAAAACTATCTTCTATCAACTATCAACTACAAATTTTGATTTCTGGCGTGTTAGAAAATTTTAATTTCTGGCGTGTTAAAATGAAAACATTTTTTTCTTCTCAAGATTTATGGGACATAGTAGAAGAAGGATTCATTGTTCCCGCAGATACTTCAACTCTTAATGCAGCTCAAGAAAAAGAGTTGAAGAAAAATAAACAGAAAAATTCAAAGGCATTGTTCATCTTGCAACAAGCGGTAGCTGATGCAATTTTTCCAAGAATTATGGGACTAAGAATGCCAAAGAAGCGTGAAACACATTGCAGGAGGAGTTTCAAGGAAGCGTTAAGGCACGTGTTGTCAAGCTTCAATCTTTAAGAAGAGATTTTGAACTATTGAAGATGAAGGAGTCTGAGACAATTAAAGATTACTATTCTAAAGTTAAAGAAATAGTTAATAAAATGAGAGCTTTTGGGGAAGACATTCTTGACAAGAAAATTATTGAGAAAATTCTAATTACTATGCCCCCAAAGTTTGACCCAATTGTGACAACGATTGAAGAAACCAAAGATTTGTCCACTCTATCAGTGACAAAACTTGTGGACTCTCTTAAAGCATATGAGCAAAGATTGTATAGGCATAAAGAAGATACACTTGAAAATGTCTTCCAGTCAAAGCTCAAATTTCATCCCAAAAACAAAGAAAATGGAGGAAAGAAAAATTATGGAGAACTTTAAAGAAGAAGAGAAAGTTCTAGGAATTTCCTTAAGAACAAAACAAATAAAAATCCTCAATGCATTATATGCAAAAGAATGGGCCACAGAGAGAAAAATTATTGGTTTCGTAATATGCCACAATGCAACCATTGCAAAAAGTTTGGACACGTAGAGAAATATTGCCGCAACAAAAATAGGCATCAAGTTAATATCGCAAAGAAAAATGTATGTTCTATGCCACTCAAGACTTAGTAGAAGAAAAATGAGGAGGTTGGTACTTGGATAGTGGATGTAGCAATCACATGGCCAAGGATGAGACTATTTTCAAAAGCATTGACAAGTCTGTCAAAGTCAAAGTTCGATTGGAAAATGGAGTATGGTTGAATCAAAAGGAATAGGCACTGTCATGGTGGAGACAGATAAAGGTACACAACTCATCCACGATGTCTTACTAGTCCCCTAACCTTAAAATTTTTTTTTCTAAGCATTGGCCAAATGATGGAGAGAGGCTACACACTTCACTTTGAAGGAGGAGTATGCAAAATCTTAGACAACAAAAATAAAAGGGCCGAGATAATCCAAGTGAAGATGAATAAGAGCAATATAAGCTTCCCGATAAATTTAAAACATACAACTAACATTGCCATGAAGGTACAAGTTGATGATTCATGGCTCTGGCATCGAAGATTTGGCCACTTCAACACACATGCCTTAAAGTTGTTACATGAGAAGAACATGATGAGAGATTTTCCAAGCATAAAGGAGAACAATGAAGTGTGTGAAGGATGTCTCCTTAGTAAGCAACACTGATTTTCGTTCTAAACAAGTGGAGCATGGAGAGCAAAAGATCTGTTGGAGCTAATTCATACTGATGTCTGTGGACCGATGAGGACTCCATCACACGAGAACAACATGTACTAAATATTCTTCATTGGTGACTTCTCTAGAATGACATGGGTCTATTTCCTAAAAGAAAAATCAGAAATCTTTGGAGTATTCAAAAAGTTCAAGGCCCTTGTTGAAAATCAAAGTGGAAAACGGATAAAAGTACTAAGAAGTGATCGCGGTAAAGAATACACCTCCCGCGAGTTTGACAGATTTTCAAAGGAGGAAGGTATATAGTGACAACTTACAATCGCATATTCTCCTCAACAAAGGGTGTATCTGAGAGAAAGAATCGCACAGTTATGGAGATGGCTAGATCGATGCTCAAGGAGAAGGGACTTCCTAACATATTCTGGGCTGAAGCAGTCTACACTGTTGTTTACATACTTAACTGATGTCCAACTAAGTCAGTACAAGATAAGACTCCAATTGAAGCTTGAAACGGGAAGAATCCATTAGCAAAGCACCTAAGGGTCTTTGGATCTATATGTTATATTCATATTCGACGTGAAGAGGCACAAGCTTGAAGAGAAAACTATACGAGGTATCTTCTCGGGGTATAGCACAATCTTTAAAGGCTACCGTGTATACAACTTGCAAACTAAAAAACTCATCATCAGTCGAGATGTTGAAGTTGATGAGAATGCTTCTTGGAATTGGGATGAATAAAAAGTTGAAAAGAACATTCTTATACCAGCTCAACTACCTCAAGAAGAATCTGAGGAATAAGGCACAGGTGAACCTTCTTCACCTCCACCACAACAACATGATCAAGAATTATCATCACCAGAGTCTACTCCAAGACTAGTAAGATCTTTGACGGACATATATGAAACTTGTAACTTGGACATACTTGAACCTGGAAGCTTTGAAGAAGCATTAAAGAAAGAAGTATGGGTCAAGGCAATGGAAGAAGAGATAAAGATGATCGATAAAAATAACACATGGGAGTTAGTAAATCGTCCCCATGGAAAAGATATCATTGGGGTTAAGTGGGTCTATAAAACAAAGCTCAACCCTGATGACACCATACAGAAACACAAGGCAAGGTTAGTAGCTAAGGGTTACTTGCAGCAACCTGGGATTGACTACAATGAGACATTTGCACCAGTAGCTTGTCTTGATACTGTTGTACCCCAAAATTTTTCCTCCCTTTTCACCAACATTTTCTCACCATAAGACTCTTGGAGCTCAAGATCAAGTTAGGGTTTGCTCTACTCAAGACCCCTCCTTGCATTGTTGACCCAAATTAGGGTTTGAGTTTTCACAAAGATGTTTTGACCTAAAATTCCCAAAGTGACTTTCATGCTTCATGTTGGACTCACAAGTTTATCCATACCAAGTTTCAAGCCTTGATTCCAATTTTTGCCCAGTCAATTGGACAGTTGACCTAAAATCAGCTATATTGGGGAAAAAGTCAACTATGGCCAATTGACAGTCAAACCTCATGAACTTTGACCCACATCAACATAATGAACTCATATGAACCATTTGGTCAAGTTTGGATCACAATTCCACAAGAAATTTGATCAGATCACCAAAAGGGCAAAATGGTCATTTTTAGGGTTTTGACTGCACAAAGGCAATTTTTGACTGTTTGACCTAACCAATGGCAAATCAAACTCACATATGGACTCAAGGACTCAATGGAATTGTCTTGACACATTCAACAAGTTCAGAAGATCCCAAATGCATAGGATTGACAGATGAATTTTCCAGTCAACTTATCAAAATTTGACTGTGTACTGAAAAGTCAAACTTTGACTTTTTGGTCAAAATCAAGTGCCAAGATTCATTTTTCATCAAGACATGTCAATTTATGAAACTTGTTCATCAAGAAATCCAAATTTGCAAATTAGGGTTTAAAATGAGAAAATTTCATAACTTAGAATTTTTCTAAGTTATGAAACTTCTTTATTTTTTTCCTAACTTTGTCCCATTTTTTAACCAAGATGCAAATGGATTCAAACAAAACTTGAAACATGAAAGTTGTAGTCCATTGCAAAATCTACAACTTTGATTCACAAAGTTTTCTCAAAGGAAGCTTGTAGCTCAAGTTATGATTTTTGGAACAAGGGTGCAAAACATTTTTAACTTAGAGAAATTTTGACCTATTCTAGGCAGGATTTTTGTCCAACTTCTTGGCCATTTTTCACATGGTTCCACTTGGAGTTTCAATTTTCATTACAAAGATGGATTGTAGTACACATTCCAAGCTTTCAAAATTTTCCAAGAACTTCTCAAACACCCTTGTGGTTAGAGAGAATCGAATTTGCTAAGTTGGGCAAAATTCACTTTTGTTCATAACCAAATACATGTTCATACAAGCTTCATTTTCAAATCAGCATGCTTGGTACTTGCTTGCAGGCCTCTAAACCAAGTTTGCACTGCATAATTAAATGCCTAACCATTGTATTAATGCATTATTTCTTCCCTTTGGGCATTGCACATAGAATTAATCCTTAATTAGAAAAAGCAAACATGCCATTTTGATAAAGTTACACTTTATGTCAAGTTCCAAATCTTGGAGGCATGGGGCCAGATCTTGGAGCCAAATCAAATCCACAAATCCCATTGATCAAGAGCAATTTGTGCAGCATAGATAGAGAGGGTACACAGGCCTGCATAATGACTTGAACCTTCTTACTTCAAAAATAAGCAAGTTTGCAAAACATACACATCTCTCATTTCCTGCAAGCATAAGCAAAAACAAACTTTGTGAACATCTTCCACACATCCTAACTGACCTAAAACACGATTCCTTCATCCTCAATACCTCCTCATTCACCAAATCACATTTTGGCTGCAAAACAGGGTACCTGCTGCAGATTGAGGTCCACAACTCAATCCACTCGTGCGTTTTGGCCATAGCTTGTTCAAACACATTCCATATCATCCACACAAACTATCCCAAGCCTTGAACTCAAGCTGTAACACCCTTAACTTCATCTGCTATTTTCATTTTTCAGTTTTGCAGGTGAACTTCCATAGAACGATTCAGAGAGATTCAAAGTAAGCTAGGTGTTGGAGAAGCATCCTTGGACTTCAGGCAAGCTGTACAAAAGCTCAAACTCCATTGAAGTTGGCCACATTGTTGTACACGACTCAAGTTGAAACAGGTAAAACCATGGACTTCTATCTCTCTATCCAGACATGATTAAGCTTAGGTTTGTGAATGAAACATGTTCTACTCATAGCCCTGAAGCCATCCATGTATTTACTTTTCATTT